GCCACTCCTGTTGCCTTCTGAGGCCTCCTGCTCCTGGGGCCTCTCGGGGCCTCCTGTTGCCTTCCGAGGCCTCCTGGCGCTTCCTGTTGCCTCCTGGGGCCTCCTGTGGTTTCCCGAGGCCTTCTGGAGCTTCCTGGGGCCTCCTGGAGCCTCTTGGGACATCTTTCTGTGGCCTCCTGATGCCTCCTGGGACCTCATGTGGTCTCCTGGGGCCTCCTGGAGCCTGTTGGAGCCTCCTGTGGCATCCTGAGAAGAATCTGCGCCCACGAGCCTGGCCACCAAAACAAGCAAACCGATCGAGACATCCTCAAAATCTGGCCCACCTGGGGGGTGAAAATGAGCGTCTCGCTCGAGACATCCTCCAAATCTGCTCCGAAAGCGAAGGATGTTGGGCACAGAAACAAGCAAACCGCCTGAGACATCCCCACAAAATGGCCGCGAACGAGCCCGTGCAAACACCCCTGGCGGCTCCCCTTAGGGGTGCTGAAATGAGCGCCTCGCTCGAGACATCCTCCAAATCTGCTCCGAAAGCGAAGGATGTTGGGCCCAGAAACAAGCAAACCGCCTGAGACATCCCCACAAAATGGCCGCGAACGAGCCCGTGCAAACACCCCTGGCGGCTCCCCTTAGGGGTGCTGAAATGAGCGCCTCGCTCGAGACATCCTCCAAATCTGCTCCGAAAGCGAAGGATGTTGGGCCCAGAAATGACCAAACCGCCTGAGACATCCCCACAAAATTCCGCGAACGGGACCCCGTGAAATACCCCCCCGCCGCCCCCCTTAGAGTGCTGAGACGAGCGAATCGCCTGAGACATCCTCCAAATCTGCTCCGAAAACGAAACATGTTGGATCAGAAAATGGCCAAACCGCCTGAGACATCCCCACAAAATTCCGCGAACGGGACCCCGTGAAATACCCCCCCGCCGCCCCCCTTAGATTGCTGAGACGAGCGAATCGCCTGAGTCTGAGTGATGACTGAGTCTGAGTGATGAGAGAGCATGAGTGAGTCTGAGTGATGATATGGGGAATAACTTACGTGCGTGTCTGAGTGATGGGTGTGGTGTTCTGTCCTGTTCTGTGTCCTTCCGGCGCGGTCCGCCAATTACTCGACACGGGGCTCCCCATATGTGCATCTCATTCTCTTGGCACATCTTTCCATGGATTTCCATGCATATCAATCCCTTGATAAGTCTTTCTATGGGTATATGTCAAGGAACGCCTCACGACACGCGAAACGTAGATTGTAACGCTCTCTGAGCGTGATAGGATTGTTTTACACATCCTTGCTGACGCGTCCTCCGTTTGAGTGTGAGTGGGCATGAGTGTGGGCAACATGCTCCCTACTTACAGCACTGCCTGCTCGCTCGAGACATCCTCACAGCCGGCAGGGAGAGAGAGAGAGAGAGGGAGGGAGGGAGGGAGAGGGAGGAGGAGGAGGAGGAGGAGGGGGGGAAAGAGAAAATAGAACGCGGATTTTTCCGTGGCAGCGAAATGCAAATGACTCCTTGTTCCATTTCTGGAACTCCCACAAATCGCGCCCCAGTGGTGTGCGAGAAGACGTGGGGATCGAGCTCGGCACGATATTTGTCTTAAAATGTGTTCGCAGGGGGACGGGTTTGATATTTCCGCCACCGTACCCTTGGCACGTAAGAACGTGGTAGAACCCGCGAGTACCGGCCTCATCATCATTACCTTGTTGTTCATCCCTCGCGAGTACGGCCTCCCGTCCTCATTGTCATCGTCATCGTCGTCATCATCCCCTTCCTGCTCCTCCTCTTCCCCTCCTCCTCCTCCTCCTTCCTCCCTCCCCCTCCTCCTCATCATCCTCATCATCATCATCATCATCATCATCACCATCATCAGTGCCGGAGCCCGAAACGGGCCTCCAGACCTCGAAGTTCGAAGTTCCTCCTGCTCCTCCTCCTGCCCCTCCCCGTCCTCCTGCTCCTCCTCTCCTCCTCCTCCTCCTCCTCCTCTTCCTCCTCCTCCTCCTCCTCCTGCGCCTCCTCCTCCTCCTCCTCGATTATCAAAAAAGCGGCGCGGCCATCGTCGTTGCGATCATCATCATCATCATCATCATCATCATCATCATCATCACCACCACCACCACCACCACCATCATCATCATCATCATCATCATCGCCATCATCATCATCATCATCATCATCATCATCATCACCAGCATCACCATCATCATCATCATCATCATCCCATTCTACTGCTCCTACTCGTGTTCATGTTCACCTCCTTCTCCTCATCATCGTCCTCCTCCTCCTCCCCAGTATCCTCCTCCTCTTCCTCCTCCCCCTCATCATCATCATCATCATCAGCATCATCATCATCATCATCATCCTCATCCTCATCCTCTTCCTCCTCCTCCTCCTCCTCTTCCTCCTCCTCCTCCTCTTCCTCCTGACTCCTCCTCCTCTTCCTCCAAATCTGCTCCGAAAACGAAACATGTTGGAAGAGAAAATGACCAAACCGCCTGAGACATCCCCACAAAATTCCGCGAACGGGACCCCGTGAAATACCCCCCCGCCGCCCCCCTTAGAGTGCTGAGGCGAGCGAATCGCCTGAGACATCCTCCAAATCTGCTCCGAAAACGAAACATGTTGGATCAGAAAATGGCCAAACCGCCTGAGACATCCCAACAAAATTCCGCGAACGGGACCCCGTGAAATACCCCCCCGCCGCCCCCCTTAGATTGTTGAGACGAGCGAATCAGAGTGCTGAGACGAGCGAATCGCCTGAGACATCCTCCAAATCTGCTCCGAAAACGAAACATGTTGGATCAGAAAATGGCCAAACCGCCTGAGACATCCCCACAAAATTCCGCGAACGGGACCCCGTGAAATACCCCCCCGCCGCCCCCCTTAGATTGCTGAGACGAGCGAATCGCCTGAGTCTGAGTGATGACTGAGTCTGAGTGATGAGAGAGCATGAGTGAGTCTGAGTGATGAGTGAATCTGAGTGGTGAGTCTGAGTGATGAGTGGTGTGTCTGAGTGAGGACTGAGTCTGAGTGATGAGTGAGTCTTGATGAGTGAGTCTGAGTGATGAGTGTCTGAGTGATGGGTGTGGTGTTCTGTCCTGTTCTGTGTCCTTCCGGCGCGGTCCGCCAATAATCACTGGTGGAGCTCCCCATATGTGCATCTATTCGCATGGACCTGTCCGCCGTGAATGTCTAGGCGCAAGAGCTTTCGAATATACACGGGCTTCAGTTGTGACGGTCAGGACATAAATCTAACTGCGAATGAATTGGAGTGTGAATGAGCCTCAGTAGTACGAGCGCGTCTTTGTGCATGAGCCTCGGGCCTCCTGGGGCCTCCTGAAACCTACTGGGGCTTCCTGGGGTCTCCAGGAGCCTCTTGGGGCCTCCTGGGACCTCCTAGGGAGGTTTCGTGCCCCAGGAGAGGCGCAATATATAGCAACAGACGTACATAAACCATTGCGGATTCGTGCCACAGGAGAAGGGCAATCTATAGGAACACGCGTCAAACACAAAGGACTCGTGCCCCAGGAGAGGCCCAATATATATATATATATATATATATATATATATATATATATATACATATAGGAACATTAGTAAAATATGTAGGATTGTGTACACAGGAGAAGGACAATCTATAGAAACATACGTAAAACATCAAAAGACTCGTGCTCCAGGTGAGGCCCAATCGATAGGAGCATACGTAAAACACATGGGATTGGAGCCACTCCTGTTGCCTTCTGAAGCCTCCTGCTCCTGGGGCCTCTCGGGGCCTCCTGTTGCCTTCCGAGGCCTCCTGGCGCTTCCTGTTGCCTCGTGGGGCCTCCTGTGGTTTCCTGAGGCCGTCCGGAGCTTCCTGGGGCCTCCTGGAGCCTCTTGGGACATCCTGTGGCCTCTTGAGTCTTTCTGTGGCCTCCTGATGCCTCCTGGGACCTCATGATGTCTCCTGGGGCCTCCTGGAGCCTGTTGGAGCCTCCTGTGGCATCCAGAGAAGAATATGCGCCCACGAGCCTGGCCACCAAAACAAGCAAACCGATCGAGACATCCTCAAAATCTGGCCCACCTGGGGGGTGAAAATGAGCGCCTCGCTCGAGACATCCTCCAAATCTGCTCCGAAAGCGAAGGATGCTGGCACAGAAAACAGGCAAACCGCTCGAGACATCCCCACAAAATTCCGCGAACGGGACCCCGTGAAATACCCCCCCACCGCCCCCCTTAGAGTGCTGAGACGAGCGAATCGCCTGAGACATCCTCCAAATCTGCTCCGAAAACGAAACACGCTGGATCAGAAAATGGCCAAACCGCCTGAGACATCCCCACAAAATTCCGCGAACGGGACCCCGTGAAATACCCCCCCGCCGCCCCCCTTAGATTGCTGAGACGAGCGAATCGCCTGAGTCTGAGTGATGACTGAGTGATGAGTGAATCTGAGTGGTGAGTCTGCGTGATGAGTGGTGGGTGTGGTGTTCTGTCCTGTGTCCTTCCGGCGCGGTCCGCCAATAACAAGAACCCCATCTTTGGATATGGGGAATAACAAGAACCCCATCTTTGGATATGGGGAACAAGAACCCCATCTTAGGATATGGGGAACAAGAACCCCATCTTAGGATATGGCAATAAAAAAGAAAGTGCTCTGCCCTCGGCGCCACGGCGGGGAAGGAGCGTATGTCCGCAAGTGTGCTCTCTCACTGATACCAACTGTGGCGTGCGGTCTCCGCCTCTCGAGGCTGGAGGCGTGCCTTGGACCACGGGGCAATCACGAATCAAGTCTGCACCGAAGATCATATCCCGCAAGGTTTGAGCCGGAAGTGCCGAGTACCCGATGTCGCCGCTCGATGGCAGTCTTCGGAGGCGCCGAAATGGCCCAACCGCATTTGACGCATCGGGGCGTTTCCTCTGATTCCTCCTGAATGTCTTCCTCTGGCTTCCTTCGGCTTCTCCTCTACCCTCTCCCATGGCCTTCTCTTTCTTTTCCTATTCATGCCCCCATATCCATGCTCCTTCGCTGGAGGCACTGAAGTCCGGCTTCGTCTTTGCGCAGCATTTCGCCTTGGCGCAGCATTTCGCCATGGCTCAGCAGGCATAATTTGCCTCTTTCAAGCATCGCTTTCAGCAAGCATCTACAAAGCGTCGGGGCTCCCGGGAAGGGAGGGAGAGGGGAGGAGACAGGGGAGGGAAGGGAGCGGGCGGTGAAAGGGATACGTGAGGGGAAGAGGAGAGACACGGAAGGGAGTGAACGAAGGGGATGAGAGGGAGAAGAGAAGTGAGTGGGAGAAGAAGAAGAAGAAGAAGAAGAAAGGGAATGGCAGAGCGGTTTGGATTGGGAGCGCGACAGGGAACGGGATTGGGATGGAAAGTGCACATGGTCGGGCGAGGAGGGAGGAATTAGCTCGGATACGTTGGGAAGCAAGCTCCTTCCTCGCCTCCAATCCTACAATCCTCCTCGCGCAGGTCGAACACAGCCGTTTGAATTGGTCAGCCTTAAAGAACGCGCACCTCAACGCGCACGTGATGTAACTTTGCCGCTCGCTCAACTTGCACCCTTGGCGGCCGACCAAAAAAAACGGTTCCGAACTATAAAGGAAGCAGTGCAGATTGCATTATGGCGGGGCAGGGTATCACAGAGAGTACACGAGATAATCCGAAAGGGATACCACGAGAAAGACCACAGAGGAGACCACATGATAGACATAGGTGAGGCCATATGGGATACCATACGCGATACCATGAGTGAGACCATGAGAGAGATCCTGCGGGAAACCTCACGGGTGACCAGACCGGAGACCATAGTGGAACCCATAATAGAAAGCATACGGGGCACCGTACGGATGACCATGCGCGAGACCACGAGCAACCGTTTCCAGATCTTGCGAAGTGCACACCCTACATTACAGCATGACTTTTGCAGACGAGCCGCTTAGGATTGAACACTCCAGAAGCGCCTCGATGCCAACATGTTGAGAGTCATCAGGCGCGTGCTGGCGCTGACGCCGACCAGCCTGGCGGCGCAGCGCGCCCGACGTAGAACGTCGAGGGGAGGCTGCTTCTCGGAGGCCTAGAGGTTGACACCAACACCAATATCGGCGTTGTGCCTCCACCGAGGGAAGAATATCCCAATCTCGGCGATGGTGGTAATATTCTGGCTTCCCAGGCGGCCGAAAGATTACCACCAGCACCGAATTCTAGGATCATCCTCCCCTGGTGGAGGCAACCCCCTGTGTTGGTGATGGTGTCAATTTCCAAGCCTCCAAGCTTTCCCCTGGCCGTGCACGGCGACGGGCCCTCCTCCTCCTCCTCCTCCTCCTCCTCCTCCTCCTCCTCCTCCTCCTCCCCCTCCTCCTCCCCCTCCTCCTCCTGCTCCTCCTCCTCCTCCCCCTCCTCCTCCTCCTCCTCCTCCTCCTCCTCCTCCTCCTCCTCCTCCCCCTCCTCCTCCCCCTCCTCGGGCTCCGCCCGAGCACCTGCGGGCGTTGTGGCTGCCTCTGCAGCCCTGTGGTCGCTCGGGCCGGGCCCTGCGAAAGGGAAGGGGGGTGCCGACGTCTGCTGCACGCGGCCCCTTCCGGCTCCACTGCCACGCCCGTTCCGGCTCCGCCTCGCGCCAGACAGCTGCGCGAGTTGGCTCGCTACCCCGACTCCCCCGTCTCGTCCGACCCTATCGGTGAGGAGGGCGACTGTACGGTCCCCTCGAAGTTGGTCGTCGACAGCATGCATGCTGTCACGGAGGTGCAAAGTGAATTGTTGAAGGCTCCCGCGGAGATCAGCATGGCGGGCCATTGTGGTGATGGCTGGTGCACCAGCTGAGGACTTGGGCCAGGTCGACCCTTCTGTTCGGTGCGACTGGGATGAATGTCAGGTTGGGCCGGTGACGAAGTGCTACGAACAGTCAATATGCACGGGTGACCCGAGCGAAGGTGAGGTGCCCAGCTTCGGCCCTTCCAACATTCAGTCACGAGGCCCTTGAAAGATCACGCCTTCGGGAGGTCCTGCATACAAACATGCATTTGCCTGGACCAAGCAGTATCCAGCACAGTTCTTGCCGCTTGATGGGACGCTGTCTGGGTGGCCCGTCAGTGCCGACACAAGGAGGCCGAGGGCACGATGCATTCGATTGCGCAGCAAACCAGGACAGCACGTATGTGGAGCTTGAATGCGCCTAGATAAAGTAATGCACTAACTCAGACTGACCCGACTGTGGGCGTTCCATCCATTTCATAGATCTAATGGCCTTCGGCCCATGCCGCCACTGGGCATGGATTGTGGGCTAGAATTCTCAGGCATGCTTCTAGGGGTCTCTTCGGAGCGCTCTCGGGGGCCTGTTGGGGGCAGTTCGGCGGCCACTTGGGAACCTTTTGGGAGCCTCCTGGGGGCCCCTTGGGGCTTTCTGGGGGACTTCGGGGGGCCTCTGGGCAGTCTTGGGACCCTCTTGGAGACCTCTTAGGCCGTTTTGGGATCTCTTGGGGGCCTCTGAAACCGTCCTGGAGCGTCGGGAAAAGGCGATAACGCCAAAATCGTCCAAATTCTTTTGAATAGCTAAATGATGTTTGCCTCGTCGGACTCTCTTGGGAGGCCTCTTGGAAGCCTCTTGGGGCGTCTTGGAGGCTATCTTGCGCGACCTCGAGCGATTGATTAGCGATTCGGGGCCCTCGTGGACCGCCTTGAAGGCATCTCCGGACCCTCGTGGCCCGTCTTGGGGCTCATGTGGACCCGAAAGGGTCATGCGGCAAGACGCCCCCGGCCCCAGGGGGCACGCCAAGAACCCCAGGGGCCAGACGATTTGGCAATTTGGGGTCTGGGCGCTTTGAAGATTTTCAGGACTGAGGACTGAAGCCACACGGGATCCAACAAGGGACTTTAGGACATTCCAACTCGCGCCTCAAGGGCACGGTGGCGGATCCCTTCTGGATGTCAGCAGCACATGTATTTCTGCCCCCCCCCATTATCGCCACCACCATCGTAATCAGCAACATCATCGCCATCATCTTCACTGCGCTGTCTCTCCCCATTCATACGGTACATAGAGGGAACCAATTATTGAACACTCCTTCTCCCCCCAAACTTAAAGTTGGCGCGTGGGGGAGACTGCGGTCGAGGTGCAACTCATCAGACCCACCGCCAACTTTGAACATTTGGGAGAGGGGGAGGCGTTGACAGATGAATGTGGCATGAGTGTTCGCTATTTTGATCCGGGGCCGGTATTTTCGATCGTTTCTCCCCATCGTCTTCGTTTGAAACCAAGCTCGCAGGTCGTCACGTTGGGCGTTGTGGTGGCCGTGTACCAGGCCTGTGGGGCCGCCTTTGCCCTGGTCCCACGCCTCCTCTGTCTGCCCCCCCTCGCCCCGCTCCACATTACCTCCCCCCTCTGCGCTGCTTGTAGGTGGGCTGAGGAATGTACAGGAGAACACGAGTGCAGAAAATTCTCGCGTTGACACTGGAAGAAGATACTTGGATGTCCCGTCTGTGGCGAGGCAGGTGTGGGAGATCTATTGTTCGTGTTGCCGCGTCCGCTTTTCTCCGCCGCTCGCAACGTGATGACGTTTTCATCAGTTACCAACAGTCGCGGCACCACGTCCAGACCTAAAAGGGGACAGGGTCTGTTGCGATTGTTATTAGAAAATCATTGCGCAGTACAGTGAAATCAATTCCTCCTATGTATTGAGGTCGACCCTTGCCGCGATCAAACGTTATTGTCGTCCTATTCATACGCTTATGTCGCCCTACCACTGGGGTTACTAGGTCGGTAGGCACTTCATTGCATGGGCTGGACTACTACCCGTGGTCGTAGTCGATCGATATGCGCCAGCAAGGCGATCTTAACGAATCGGTGGCGATGATACTGATCATGAGTAGGAAGATGAGGATCACGATAATGTGGAGGCGGCATGTTTCAATGTTGAGCGATGGGAACTATAACACTGGTGAACACGAAATAGAGAACGACGATGACGACATTGGTAACGACGTGCGTGACCCAGGTGAACACGACGAATAGGACGATGACAGTGAGGAGTATTGAAGTACGCTGCAGACGGTTGCGTTGTCGACAAGGCGTTGGTGCCAGTTTTCATGGATGAGTTCTATCACTAGTCATGCCACCGGTCACAACCGTTTTCGCGACACCAGAGATGTTGTAGGAGGACAGGACAGGAGAAGGAGGAGGAGGAGGAGGAGGAGGACGACGACGACGACGACGTCGAGGACGAAAAGGCGGAGGTCGGACGAGGTGTTGCAATGTTTCTGGGGCGTCGTGGAACCCGCTTTGGGTCTTTTCGGCTGTTCGGGGTAACGTTTCGCCTCCTTGGGCGCCGTTTGGGTTGTTTTGGGGGAGTCCTCTTCCAGAGCCGCTAGAGTCCGTATACACCCGAGCGCGTTGGACCAGATAAGATCCCGCGGAAAGCACCCCAAATGTATCACACCCCTCGGAGTGCACCATATCTATAGCACACCGTTGTTTTACTCATACACCTTGTTCATTTTTATGTATTCGAAAGTTCTTTGACTCTTGGGGGGGGCAAGATCCTTTCATGTCTAATTGTTCAATCCCGGGCATCTTCCTGGCCATTAGGGGGCCAGGAACAATTAGAAACGAGCACAATTAGACGTGAGCACGATTAGAAATGATCGACGTGTGCTCACCGTTTGGGGTTCACGCCGGTAACATTTGTTTTGTATATGTTTTGGTTGAAGAGTCGGGTTCTTCTGGGATTCGCTGGGCCTCCATTGGAGTCTCTGCGGGCCCCCGTCGGCCGTCTTCGGGCCCGGTGGGGGTGCTTTGGGTCGCCCTTGGGCTGTCAGCGGTGTCCTGCGAGTCTCTTGGAGCCCCTCTTGGGCAATCTTGCGCCTCTCCAGGGATTCTCTGTGCGCGTTTCAGGCCCCCTCCTGGGCTGGTCTTGGCCTGTCCTGGGACTCGCTTGGGGTCCGTTGGCCAGTCTTGGTGCGATTTGTTGCGGCCCTCTCGGGCCAGCCTGGGCATTCTTGCACTCGAAAAGCAGAGCATGCGGAAATTTACCCAGGAAACAGATGGTTGATCGTTGTGGCTTGCCTCTTGGAGGCATCTTGGGGATCCCCTCGTGGCACTAGTGGTGCGTTCTGCTAACCTCTTGCGCCGTCCTAGGGCCATCTTGGGCCGTTCAGGGGCGTGGACGCGACTTTTGGTCGAGATTTTGACGGGCCCGAATGGTTGATTCAGAACACTAGGTTTGAAGTCATCAGGATTCCCGACGGCAGTGGTTTCGTAGATTTCATTTCGTGATACAGCAGCACACCAAGGGCAACGAATGAAAAGTAGGATCTCATCTCCTGCTCTGTCTGCTCATCCCTTATGCGCCCTCCGTCTTCCTCGGCGCGACCATGTCTTGGTATGTGTTTCGCAGTTCCAGGCCGCACTCCTCAAAGGGGGCTGGTGGGAGGCGCTGGTCATTAGCTCATTCTTGCAGGTTTGTTAGTGATCGCGAAACCGCTTTCTTGTCTCTATAGTCGGTGTGCTGCAGGTCGACTTGCGCGTGTCGCCGTATTGTCTAGCACTCCTTGCGCAACAGCGGGAAGGGTGTGTGTCTCATCAGAACGGATGGGGGAAATGGAGAGCCAATTCCGTGCGCCTTGGATCGAACGTCATTTCGCATGTGTAGTTCCCCACATGTTTCGTGGGGTTATGGTTTTCTTCCCTGCCGCGGCGCACCCGCGTCTCACCTCACCTCACACCTCATCTCCTCTCTCCTCCTTCCTCTCCTCACCCGCGCTCAACGCGTGCACGGCAAGTACATGAGACACGCGTCTACATACGGCCGCGCGCATGCACACACTCGCACACAACACACACACACACCATACAACGCTAGTGCGCGCCTGGCGTGATCACTGCAGCGTCCATTGAGGCGTGTGCGCGACATAGTGGGCACCCACATGAGACACGTCCCGATATAGCCGCACACGCATCATACGCATACACATACACCTACCATCCCATATACAAGACGTGTGTGTAGGATTCGCAGTGGATGGCAGGAGGCTCTATGCAGGCCATGGCGCAGGGCACGGCAGGCGTGGCACTTTCTCGACACCACAGGGGGTGCGCAGGGGGTGGTCTCTCACCGCGGTCTCTATACGCGCCAATGTCGCAGGGCCTAGCAGGCGTGGCACTTTCTCGACACCGGAGGGGGTGCGCAGGGGGTGGCCTCTCACCGCGGTCCCTATACGCGCCAATGTCGCAGGGCCTAGCAGACATGGCATTTTCTCGACACCACAGGGGGTGCGCAGGGGGTGGTCTCTCACCGCGGCCGCTATGCACGACGGTCGTCCAGGCACAGCAGGCGTGGCACATTCTCGACACCACAAGGGTGCGCAGGGGGTGGTCTCTCACCGCGGCCGCTATGCACGACGGTCGTCCAGGCACAGCAGGCGTGGCACTTTCTCGACACCACAGGGGGTGCGCAGGGGTGGTCTCTCACCGCGGCCGCTATGCACGACGTCGCCCAGGCACAGCAGGCGTGGCACTTCTCTCGACACCACAGGGGGTGCGCAGGGGGTGGTCTCTCACCGCGGCCGCTATGCACGACGGTCGTCCAGGCACAGCAGGCGTGGCACTTTTCTCGACACCACAGGGGGTGCGCAGGGGGTGGTCTCTCACCGCGGCCGCTATGCACGACGGTCGTCCAGGCACAGCAGGCGTGGCACATTCTCGACACCACAGGGGGTGCGCAGGGGGTGGTCATGGGTGCGGCCGCAATGCACGACGGACGTCCAGCACAGCAGGCGTGGCACTTTCTCGACACCACAGGGGGGGCGCAGGGGGTGGTCTCTGGCTACGACGTCCAGGCACAGCAGGCGTGGCACTTTCTCGACACCACAGGGGGTGGCGCAGGGGGTGGTCTCTCACCGCGGCCGCTATGCACGACGGTCGTCCAGGCACAGCAGGCGTGGCACCGACACCACAGGGGGTGCGCAGGGGGTGGTCTCTCACCGCGGCCGCTCGGCACGACGGTCGTCCAGGCACAGCAGGCGTGGCACTTTCTCGACACCACAGGGGGTGCGCAGGGGGTGGTCTCTCACCGCGGCCGCTATGCACGACGGTCGTGCTCAGGCACAGCAGGCGTGGCACTTTCTCGACGCCACTGGGGGTGCGCAGGGGGTGGTCTCATTCACCGCGGCCGCTATGCACGACGGTCGTCCAGGCACAGCAGGCGTGGCACTTTCTCGACACCACAGGGGGTGCGCAGGGGGTGGTCTCTCACAGAGGTCGCTACGCACGACGGTCGTCCAGGCACAGCAGGCGTGGCATTTCTCTCGACGGCATAGAGGGTGCGCAGGGGGGGCGGTCTCCCAGGGCCCAGCGCGCGCGTGCCTTTTTCGAGGCTGCAGGGGCACGCAAGCGGGGGGGGGGGGACCTGTAGTGGTTTTCTTCCCTGCCGCGCGGCACCCGCGTCTTACACCTCCCCCCTCCCCTTCCACGACGGTCGTCCAGGCACAGCAGGCGTGGCACTTTCTCGACACCAGAAAAGGTGCGCAGGGGGTGGTCACTGAGCTCGGTCGCTATGCACGACGGTCGTCCAGGCATAGCAGGCGTGGCAATTTCTCGACACCATAGGGGGTGCGCAGGGGGTGGTCCCTGAGCGCAGCCGCTATGCACGACGGTCGTCCAAGCATAGCAGGCGTGGCACTTTCTCGACACCACAGGTGGTGCGCAGGGGGTGGTCCCTGAGCTCGGCTGCTATACACGACGGCCGTCCAGGCACAGCAGGCGCGGCATTTTCTCGACACCACAGGGGGTGCGCAGAGGGGTGGTCTCTGAGCTCGGCCGCTATGCACGACGGTCGTCCAGGCACAGCAGGCGTTGCATTTTCTCGACGCCACAGGGGGTGCGGAGGGGGTGGTCCCTGAGCGCGGCCGCTATGCACGACGGTCGTCCAGGCACAGCAGGCGTGTCACTTTCTCGACACCACAGGGGGTGCGCACGGGGTGGTCCCTGAGCTCGGCCGCTATGCACGACGGTCGTCCAGGCACAGTAGGCGTGGCACTTCGTCGACACCACAGGGGGTGCGCAGGGGGTGGTCCCTGAGCTCGGCTGCTATGCACGACGGTCGTCCAGGCACAGCAGGCGTGGCATTGGTTCGACACCAGAGGGGGAGCAGGCGTGGCACTTTCTCGACACCATAGGGGGTGCGCAGGGGGTGGTCCCTGAGCGCAGCCGCTATGCACGACGGTCGTCCAAGCATAGCAGGCGTGGCACTTTCTCGACACCACAGGTGGTGCGCAGGGGGTGGTCCCTGAGCTCGGCTGCTATACACGACGGTCGTCCAGGCACAGCAGGCGTGGCACTTTCTCGACACCACAGGGGGTGCGCAGAGGGGTGGTCTCTGAGCTCGGCCGCTATGCACGACGGTCGTCCAGGCACAGCAGGCGTTGCATTTTCTCGACACCACAGGGGGTGCGCAGGGGGTGGTCCCTGAGCGCGGCCGCTATGCACGACGGTCGTCCAGGCACAGCAGGCGTGTCACTTTCTCGACACCACAGGGGGTGCGCAGGGGGTGGTCCCTGACCGCGGCCGCTATGCACGACGGTCGTCCAGGCACAGCAGGCGTGGCACTTTCTCGACAACACAGGGGGTGCGCAGGGGGTGGTCCCTGAGCGCGGCCGCTATGCACGACGGTCGTCCACGCATAGCAGGCGTGGCACTTTCTCGACACCAGAGGGGGCGCGCAGGGGGTAGTCTCTCACCGCGGCCGCTATGCACGACGGTCGTCCAGGGCATAGGTGTGGCACTTTCTCGACGCCACAAGGGGGTGCCTTGAGGGTGCGGGCGCAATCTGTTTCGGGCTCGCAAAGTGTGGCTGGCGCGGCGCTCCTCCTCTTCCACCTCTCCTCTTGAGTGGCGTCACCAACAATATCGGCGGGGCAACGGCCACAAACGTCAGTCTCGCACGCTTCACTTCAGCTAGCATCACCCCAGCCATCATATAAGCATGTGGGGTTCCTCGGTAGCGTGATGTTTTCTAGCCGCTACTGCTCGAAGAGTTTAATACTGACTTCCACAATTGCCTGCGTTGCGGCATGAGCTCCGCAGAAGCCATATTGGTGATGTCTTACACGAATGTGTTGTGGTCCTCACTTCATCTGCACATGCTCAGAACAATGAACAAACACATTCGACACTGGCGGTGTAGCTTCACCTCTGCAAGACCACCCCGACTCGAGATCAGCCAGCCAGTCTAAATGTGTTCGGTTGTTTGCGCTCTTCGGCGTATGAGGGGTGCTTTGTGCCAAGGCCACCGCGGAGCGCTTCACGAAAGCCTCTGAACAGCGGTACCAAATCCCGGAGTGAATCCTTGCAGCCCGAGAAATCGCACATTGTCATGAATGTTAGTGATGCAATGTCTGCAGAGGATATATTTGTCTCAGGCCGATGGGGGTTCGCACACATGTTACAAACCCAGGAAGAGCTTCTTTGGGATGCAGTGCAAGTGAGACTTGGCGTTCCCCTTGGAAAACGCCTTCGACGTTCCCGTCGTAGAGTTTGTTTCGCTAGCATAGTGGAGTGCGGATGTCCGGTTGCTGTCAGCCTCCTCGTCTTCCAGTGCCCCTCGCGCGGCAAGAACATTCGCGATTGCTTCAGATGTCTGGTCATCATTCCGCGTCGTCCTCCCTTTCATCCTTTTCTCTCTACGTCTCCTCCTGCTCCTCCCCTGCTTTCCCCTCTCAACCCCCATTCCGTCATCCCGTTTCTGCTGAATGGTTCCGCCCTCATTTGCATAGGGCATTCTGCAGATAGCGTGCGTGATTGCTAACCCTTTCGGCGACAACATCTTGAACTTTCCTATCGCTGGGTGCCGCGGATGTGGGAGAAGGACGAGGAGAAGGAGGAGGAGGAGGATGAGGCGGAGGAGAAGCAGAGGTAGGAGCGGATGGAGGTCCGTAGCCACGATTGATCAGGACAGGAAGCTCGGAGCAGCGATGTTGCGAGGCTGAACCGGCTCCGTCTGCTGCCCTGCCCTCGGACGACCATCGGCTCTCGTTCGGGAATTGGTGCGACGCATCTGGCGAAGCGGGAACTGCACACCCAAAGGGATGTGTGGCTCTTGGTGGTGCTGCCCATCATGGTAACAGCCACCAGTGCGATGACCGACATTACCTCTCTGATTACCAAAGCTCTTCTCCCTGCGCGTCCGGCATGTACCTGCCAGCGCGTTTTGATGTTTTTGGGGGCTCATCATGCTATTCGTGCAAGCGCCGCCCCGGCCGGCGCTTGCGTGGAAGAGCGCGTGTGACGGCATCCCGGTTTTGGGAAACGCCCAGGGTGGCACATTGTAGCGCCTTGCTGGCAGACGATCAGATCGAGAGGGACGTCTCGGCAGTTCATTCGCGATTCATTCCCCTCTGCTTTCCTCGTTCCTCTCCCAAAATAGCGCTGGAAAAAAAAATGCTATTCGCGCCAGCCGCCAAATTCAGAGTCGGGCCGCTTGGGCACAGGGTCACGTCGTTCCATGGCCACCGCTGCTCCAGCCGAGAGCGCCGCGGGGGAAGGCCACAGCTCAGGAGGGGGGAAAAAACACACAGACAGTGAATCGTCAGTCGTCAAGAGAAGATGCGACAATACGGGAGTTGGGCTGGAAAACAAAAGCCAAGATAATATGGGAAAATATGGGGAATCCTGCTATCTGTGCCTATTTCTTTGTGTGCCCCAGGGCCCCTCCTATACAGTCGGGGCGCTGCAGAAGGAACCCGTTTCGTTGGGGAGGGGCTCGGTGCCCCTTGATTGTTTCAAACTTTGCCTCGGGTTTTCCTCAGCTTCTCCATGGCAAGTCGAGGTTGAACTTATGGGAAAACGGGGCCTCGTTCCTCATTTAGGGCTCCTCAGGTCAACGCCCCGCCCCGACTGTATTTGTGTCCATTTATTTGTGCGCCCCAGGGCCCCTCCCATATGGGAAAGGGTGGGAAAACATGGGGAATCCTGCTATTTGTGTCCATTTATTTGTGCGCCCCAGGGCCCCCCCCCATATAGCCCCCGCGCCCGGCCCGCGCCGCGCACCCCGCGGGCGCCGGCGAGGCCGGCCACCTCCCGGGGCTGCGCCGCCGCGGCCGCTCGCGCGTGCCCGCGGCCGGGCCCCGCCGCCCTGCGCAGCACCGCGCCGCCCCGCGAGAGGCCCGCGCGCCGGCGCGGAGTCGGGCCTGTCCCTCTACAGGGGGGATATCCAAAAGCAGTCAAGAAATAGTATGGGGACGATTTTCTTTATTTTTTTTGCCCATTGGGGGGGGGCATGTTTTGAGTATTCCTTTTTTTCGCCCAAAATCTCCCTGTAGGGGGACGCAGGGGGAATATTTCGGGGGCGGCAAAGAGGGGGGTGATGACTAGAGGGGGGGTGGATATCATGGCGTGGGGCCATGAGATCTCCCCAGATTTCATGGCGCCTCTTCTTGATTTTGTTACGCCCCTGGCCCCCCCGCTGGGCCGCGCACATGCCGCCGGTCATGATTTGCACCCCCCCCTCTTGGACACACGCCCTCTTGGCCGCTCCCGAATATTTAAAAGTCAGTCAAAAAATAGTACGGGGACGATCTTTTGACTAGTTTTGCCCAGTGGGGTGGGGGGGGGGGGGGATTTTTTGAGTCTTCCTCATTTTTCGCCCAAAATCCTTCTGCAGGGGGACACGCCCGACTTGACGCCAGCGCCGGCTCCCGCGGCCGCGCGGGCCGCCCCGCACTGGAGGCGTTCAGCATCGGGGTTGTCAGTTATCTGGTTATCTGAGGAGGGAAAAAACACACGGACACTATGAATCGTCGTTTCCTCCGGGAAATATGCGAAAATATGGGAAGCGGGGGGGAAGACGAAAACCCAGAAAATAGGAGAAAATATGGGGAATCTTGTTATTTGTGTCTTTTTATTTGTGTCCCAGGACCCCTTCAAACTCTCCAGCCGGCTGCCTGGTGCCCGCGCGCCCGCGCTGGCTCCCGCGGCCGCGCGGGCCGCCCCGAACTGGAGGCGTTCAGCATCGGGGTTGTCAGTTGTCGTCGGCTGGTCATTCCACGGCAGCGTTGCGTCAGGCGGCGTCCTCCTATTGGGATGGATGGGGATGGTGTCTGCACGGCGGGGGCACGGACTGGCATCGGCGGGGCATCGCGAGTGCGGCGACGGTACCGCTGCTTTTGCGACTGGCCCTGTTCCTGCGGCCATCCAGTCAGCGTGCTACAGTGCTACAGCAGCAGTACAGTAGCATTAGGAGCAAGAGCAGGATGGGAAGAGGAAGCGGAGGATGCGGAGCAGTGGAATAAGAAGTGTAATGCAGAAAGGGGGAGGTACATGAACTTCATGGCAAAGACGGTGGACGCTATGTCTCGCGCCCAGGCCGCGCCTGGAGGATGCGGGGGGGAAGGACAGTACAGCAAGGACGGAGGAAGACCTGGAAAGGAGGAGGAGGAGGAGGAGGAGGAGGAAGAGGAGCAGTAGGAGCTGAGTGAGGAGGAAGAGAAATTCTAGACGCTTCGCGTAGCCCCACCAGACGTGTGCATTCCGGCGTTGGCTTTTGGCCCGCTGGCAATTATCTTGCGTGCTGCCCCATGCTCGATACGACCCGCTCTGGAATCGTCCTTGGAGCCGCAGATCACAAACACACACACACACACAACAAAAAAAAAAAAAACATAAAAAACAAAAAAAACGTAGCCCCACCAGTCTCGTCTGCAGCTCGATGCTCGTTTGCAGCCCCTGGCAGCTTGCAGCCCACTGCCCCCCCCCCCCCCCCTCGGCCACTTCCTGGTTTCGGCGTGCGTTGCGGCGGTAGGCCTGTTTGTGCTAGAAAATTTAGGACCTCGCGTGGCCCGCTCGGACCTTGACACGCCGTCGGCGCGCTCGCCTGCGGCTAGTAACAAAAAGTAACCCCACCAGTACCTTGCCGGCCTGGGCATCTCCTCCACGAGTGTGGCGATGTTCCTGGCGTCCCGCCGCCTCGCTGTCGGTGCTCTTCTTGGCGCTGTCATTGCTCCACCGCCGCGGCCCCCGCCGTCGTGCTTCCCCCCGCACGCACGCCCGCCACTTTTGCGCTCGTGAGCTCACGGCCTCTTCCCTGGCGATCCGGAGTCCTCCGTTGAGCGCCTGCACGGTTTGCCCTCCTCGACTACGTGACAATGGTCATCGTCCCCCTCGACTACGCGGATGTGATCTTCGGGAACCAGGGCTCGACCTACCTCGCCATTTTGGCGCTGCACGCGGACCAGGTGCACCTCCTGGCCTTCTGTGATGGCATTTGCGTCCCACGCGGGCCTGATCCTCAGCGTCCCTTTCGCCTGCTGGGTCGCAGCGTAGTTCGCTCCTGCGCGTTTGGTGCCAAATTTAGATCGTAGCGCTGTTGCTTCGCTCTTGACGGCGCGCGGTTGTGCCGCGTCGCTCGCGGATTAAAAGTAACCCCACCAGCGGGTCGTCCTGTTCGGCTTCGCACCCGCGCCCTACCGGGAGACTGTGTTCGTGGTCACCGTGTCGGTCTGCCCTTACGACCTATTGGACACTGCCCCCGCTTCTGAGCGGGGCGTTACTCCGTTATGTTTGTTCCTTTGCTTCGGCGCGGCCAGCCCTCGCTTTGCCCGGTTTTCGAGCCAAACTAACCCCGCCAGCCCATCCAGAAAAAAAGATGCCCAGACGAGCTGCCCTGGTCAGGGATGCGAAGTAAAATCCAGTGAAACGCTTGGATGGGTGAGACGCTATACCACGAGAGGGAGAGGATGGAGGATCAATCGGAGGAGGACAACGAGGACGAGGAGGAAGAGGAGGAGGAGAGCATGGAACATAACGAGGAGGAGGAGGAAGAGGAGGCAGGCGAGGGAGAGGAGGCAGGAGGGAGGAGGAGGAGGAGTAAGCGGATGATGGTTATGATGATGATGATGATGATGATGATGATGATGATGATGATGATGATGATGATGATGTCGATGGTGAGGAAGAGGAGGAGGAGGAGGAGGAGGAAATGGAAACGGGCGAACAGAAGACTCATAAGTTTTTTGAATGCGTCTCGCCGAGGATGTCCTGTGGAAATTTTTCGGAGGCCTATTGGGGCGCCTGGACGGGCATCTTGGCGAGCCCGAGGCTGTCTTTGAGCGCCTTGGGTGCCTCGGGGATCCTCTGGAAGCATTTTGGGGGGGTCGTGGGAGCCCTTTGGATGCCCATTGGGCGCCTCTTGGGGCCGTCTCGGCGCCTCCTGGGGCCCTCTGGCGGCGTTCTTGGGAGCTTTAGGGGCGCCCTTGGAACCATATTGGAAGACGTCGATCAGAAATGAGTGGAGCTTCAATCAGGGCTACCCTTCTAGAGTGCCTAAAGTCGTTTCTTGGGGCGCTCGTGGGCGCTGTTGGGGCCGTCATGGAGGCCTCTTGGGTTTTTCTAGGAACCATCTTGGAGCCAACTTGAGACTTCGGATGGCCATCGGAAGCGAAAAGGCGAGAATGCAAAAACAACGTGATATTCTTTGGGCATTGGAAGGATGCTGGCATTTGGGAGGCCTCCTGGGGGGGCTCTGTGGCCACCTGGGGCCCTCTTGGAGCGTTCTTGGGGCCTCTTGGAGCATCCGGGAAGCCGTCTTGGAGCATATTGGGTTATCTTGAGCTATATTGGAGGTCATCTTGGGCTCTCCGAGACGCTGTTGGGGCCGTTTTGGGCCATTTCGGACGTTCCAACGCGTCGCGATTCCCCCGTCCAAATCCAGGGGAAGGGGTAGGGGGAGGGGTCAAAACTCCCTCCCCGATCGCAAGCCGTCTCGTTCACTCCCACCCGCCCTCCCAACACCTACGTAGCACCCGGGTCTGGCCGGAGCGTCAGCATATTCAGCAGTCGTTTTTGCTACTGGGGGCCGCCCGCCGCCGCCGCCTCCGCCGCCGCCGCCGCCGCCGCCCGCCGCCGCCACCGCCACCGCCGCCGCCTCCGCCCGCCGCCGCCGCCCGCCGCCGCCACCGCCGCCGCCGCCGTCGCCGCCGCGCCGCCGCCGCCGCCGCCGCCGCCGCCGCCGCCGCCACCGCCGCCGCCGCCCCCGCTGCCAAATCGCCGCCGGCGCAGCCGCGCCGCGCTGCCGCCGCAGCCGCTGCCGCCACCGCCACCGCCGCCGCCGCCGCAGCCGCCGCCGCCGCCGCCGCCGCCGCCACCGCCTCCACCGCCGCCACCGCCGCCCGCAGCCGCTGCAGCCGCCGCGGCCGCCGCCGCCGCCGCAGCAGCCGCGCCGCCGCCGCCGCCGCCAAGTGTAATTTGTGTTGTTTTGTTGGCAGGGACGGGGGGGAGGCCGCATCGGGTTGGCTGCGCATGCTCCGAATTTGGAGGCAGAGTGTGTTTTGTATGGTTTTTGGTTGGCTACCAGTCGCCTGGGGGAGGGGGTGTTTATTAATAGGGAACAGTGATAAGCCCTTCCCCGAACCGGAAGAAGAGGATTGGAAGAGAAAACTCTCTAGACCACCTACGCCCCGAGGGCTGGTGGGACTCCTAGAAGACGAAGAGGAGGCGGTGGAATAAGACGACACTCTCGATCAACACCATGCCCTCACACTAGACGTGAAGAGATACCCGAGCGTTGTCCAGTATCGATGCAGTCCGATCCTCCGGTCTACAAGTGCGCGCGCCCGCGAGAACGAGTGCCCAGTGGTGGCCGAGAACGGCAGGCTGCACCACCCGAAGGCCGAGGGCCTGGACTCCACCAGGCCGGCGTCACCGCCTGCTGCTGTTGCTGCTGTCGTTGCCGCATCCGCCTCCTCATCCTCCTCCTCCTCCTCCTCCTCCTCCTCCTCCTACTCCTGGTTGTCACCACCCTCCTGCTCCACCGCCTCCCGCCGGCCTCCGCCGGGGGCGGGCGGGGAACGCGACGGGCTTCGGCCCCGGCCAGGAGCGGAGCAGCAGGTGCGCGAGAGGCGGAAGGAGAGCGCATCACTGGCGGCAGAGGCAGCAGCAGGGGGCCTGGGGGAGCAGTACGCCGGGCCAGCAGGACCGTCGGGAGTGTAGGCTGCTCGATGCGGCCAGCGTACCTTCTGTCCATCGTTTCGGCAGGTGTGCCCTGGCGCGTGCCGTTCCAGTAGAGCTGGTGGTCCCCCTTGGTGCAGTGACCCGTCTCGGCTCGAAAAGCCAGTCAAGATGATGGCCAGGACAGGTCTGGAGATGCGTTCTGAGGTCATTCGCCTGGGGGTGGTAACGTTTCATCTGTGAGGTCCTCGCTGCGGCGGTGCCAGCCGTCCGCCTGCCAGTCATCGAGCAGTCGCGCGTTTCGCTCCGCTCGCAGCGAGCTGCGATGGGCCCGCTCTGTCTGGAAAATAATTGAGGCGTTCCAGAAAGGGCCTGGCCTTCGAGGATCGAAGGAGTTGTCATCTTTTCCTTGGCGGAAGGGTGGCGGAGGCTGGCGGAAGGCTGGCGGAAGGCCGGCGGAAGGTGCCGGAAGTAAAAGATGCGCCCCCAAGAGTGACAGCATGTTTGGATTCAAGCTTTCCGGAACCCGCCAACTGAGCGGGGGGCCGTCTTCGACTCTCCCTAGCAGCCTTTGCTCTGCTCCGCGTCGCACCTGAGGGCGTGGGCGCCCCCGTGTCTTCGGCGGTCCGTGGGCGCCCAAATCGAGGGTCTCGAGGAGGGGTGCAGAGCCAGAGGAGCAGGAGAGGGGGAAGGACGGGATGGCGAAGGGACGGGGCGGGAAACGGAAGGGGAGGGGAAGGGGAGGGAAACAGAAGGGGAGGGGACGGAAGGGGAGGGAAGAGGGAAAGGGAGGTGGATCGGACGGGATGGAGAGCAGAGAGAACGGAAGGGGAGGGGAGGGGGGTCGAGCGGGAGTGGGAGGAGCGGAGGGGAACCTCTTGTTCTTTGTTCTTGCTGATGCCCAGAGTAGTAGTCCATGTGCCCGACAGTCGTCGGGTGCCGATTGCTGATGGAGTGGCCAGGCGCGCTGGAGGTCTGCAACGAAGGATGACGATGCATGCGCGCTCGCCGCACATCTGACGTCCTACCCTTCCCTCCTATCCCTTCTCATTTCATCGAATATGCTTCTGTCTGCCGAGCGTGGTGTCCTACAAGGTCTTGGTCACAAATGGCAGTCGCAGGACTTTACCCATAGTTGGCTGTGCATCCAGTGTGGAGGGGGTGCCTTTTGCACATTGGAGATGGAGCAGGAGAAGTCGCAGCAGCAGCAGCGGCGACAAAGGAGATGAAAGGACAACGACTAGGAAGACATCGTATCCAGAAGTGCGGCTTGCGTTGGGGCGGAAGTGCCATTTCGACCGATGGGCGCAAAACACCGAGCCAAACATGATGCCGACGAATCAGCGGGAGCGCCATGTTGAAGGGACGAGCATTTTCCGATTGGAGACATTATCTTGGAACAAAGGGATGTTTGTCGGCGCGGGCCCCAATACAGTCAGTTACTCTACCGTGGATGCACGGCATATGTGGTGCAACCCACGTGGTGCAAGCTGCGTGGTGCAGCCCAGTGGCGCGCAATCTGCGCGGAGCGAACTGTGGTGCAGCCCCTCGGGTGCACGTGCACGCTGCGCGGTGCAGAACCCATGCGGTGCAGGCCACGTGCTGCAGGCCACGGCGAACCCCGCCCGGGCGCCCACTCCGCCTCCTCCTCCTCCTCCTCCTCCTCCTCCTCCTCCTCTCCTCCTCCTCCTCCTCCTCCTCCTCCTCCTCCTCCTCCTCCTCCTCCTCCTCCTCCTCCCCCCCCTCCCCCTCCTCCTCCTCCCCCTCCTCCTCCTCCTCCTCCTCCTCCTTCCTCCTCCTCCTCCTCCTCCTCCTCCTCCTCCTCCTCCTCCTCCTCCTCCTCCTCCTCCTCCTCCTCCTCCTCCCTCCTCCTCCTCCTCCCCCTCCTCCTCCTCCTCCTCCTCCTCCTCCTCCTCCTCCCCCTCCTCCTCCTCCTCCTCCTCTCCTCCTCCTCCTCTCCTCCTCCTCTCCTCCTCCTCCTCCCCTCCTCCTCCCTCCTCCTCCTCCTCCTCCTCCTCCTCCTCCTCCTCCCTCCTCCTCCCCCGGCGAAACCGTCGTGGGCGCCCCCGGGGCGCCCACGAGGCGCGGCCACGCGCGCCCGCCTGGCGAAGCCTCGGCGGACCCTGGCGCCGGCGCGAGGGGGGGAGGCGCCCACGGGGCGCGGCCGCCCACCGGGCGGAAGCCGGGCGGGGGCCCATGCAGTCCCAGACATGATGGCGTCGTAAAAAAATCCGGACGGGGGGGTTTTCGCTATTTTCGACCCCTGGGGGCCCTCGCCGGGCCTCGGGACCGTCAAAAACGACTCAGGACGAAAAACCGGCCCCAGGGAAAGGGTCTAGATTTCCAGGGGCGCCGTCCTGAAAAAATCAGGACGTCGCATGTCTGGGGTTATTTGCCTCGAGGGGCAGGAGCCTCAAAGTTCGACGCTCGTTTTGGGGGACCTTCCTGGGGCCCACCGAATGGATCTGTTCGACTCAGGTTCGACTCAGGGTCGACTCAGGTTCGACACAGGTTCGACTCAGATTCGACTCAGGTTCGACTCAGGTTCGACTCAGGTTCTACTCAAGTTCGACGCAGCTTCGACGCACGAGTGGAGCGAGTGGCTCCAGGAAGGTCCCCAAAATGAGCATCTAATCAAAGGGCAATCGCTGTTTGGCGAGGGACGTCGTGTGCGCGTGCGTGCGCGTCCAGACTTGTCTGTCGGCGGCCACCGGGGCACCCAGTGGCGGTCGGGCTATGGTGGGGCACGCCCGATGGCGAATCGAGGCACGGGAGGCGGGGGGGGAGGGGCGCGCGGGGCGTGGATTGGGGGGCCCCGAGAGCGGCCCAGCGGGGATAAAGCCACGCTCGGACCGAGCGCTTGTGCAAACATACGCCCACGCTTGTTTGACGTTGCGGCCACGCGCGCAGCAACGTAACGCAGTCGGGCTGAAGCCGGAGAAGGGAAACGGGCGCACGCCAGCTCAGAAGCAGCAGGGGTATGCCGGGTCCACCCACAGGAGACCGCGCAGCATGACCCGCGGGGAGGCAGCCGCGAGGTGGTGGCGAAGGGGGGCCGACGGGAGGTGTGGCTGGGGGAAGGCGCAGCGAGAGGAGAGGGTGAGTCGGCAGAGGGCGTGCTGAGGCGCATCGAGAGCACTCATTTTTACACATACGCAGGCACGCAAACACACACACACACACACACACACACACACACACTTACTGTTTGTTGGCGTCGCGGGCCTGCGCGCAGTGACAGGGCGGAGAAGGTCGTGGAACAGCAATGGCGCACGCGCCTCCTCGAAGCGCCCAAGCCCTCAGAGACCACTCAGGGTTCTGCAGCAGCCGCCGCCATAAGCAAGCCGGGCGTGGATGACGGGGGGGGGCAGTGGGAGGACGAGGCTACGGTGCGGTGGAGGCCGCACACACATAAACACATACACATACACATACAGATACACATACACATACACACATCCGTTGCCATTTTGACTCAAGGTCTTGCTGTGTCCGAGACCAGGAAATGGACACCGCTATCCCGCGGCAGTGCGAGGACGTTTGCGTCCGACAGTCGGTTCAGTTTCTGCCAGCGCTTCTCGGGCGAGTGGCGGCCCATTCTCTCTCAACTCACGTGGACTTCTCGAATCGTGCCCGCGGGGCGCATGCCAGATGGATCCTCTCGGGCCCGTGGCCTTTCTGTTACTGCCAGGCGTCTCGCTGATGGATGGCTCTGGGGACCGTGCTAAGAAACTGCCTCGAGAGGACCATCCAGATGCCGAAGGCGAAATCGGACAAGATTATGCATGTGCCTCTTCGGACCCCCATCCAAGGCAATGACCCTTTTGGGCAAAGCTCGTGGGAAAAGGTGATATGCACGCAGATCCTCCCAATGTTGCCGGTGACCCTCTTCGCCTTGATGGTCCAGCGCTGCGCTCAGAGGTGGACAAATTCTGGAAACGATGCGGACTGAAATCGCAGCCTCGGTCACAGCGTCTACTGATAAAATGGCTTCAGATATCAAAGAGTCTACACGGCCATCCGCGCTATAGCTACGTGGCACGAGGCCAAAAATGATCATATCGATGGCCACCTCAATGGTTTAGGCAGACGTGCCCGCAAGCTGGAGGAGGAACGAATGGAATGGTAGAACGACTGGACGCGATGGCATGGGTGGTTCAAATTTGTGCGCCTGCACCGCCCAAGCATGAGTTGGCAGATTACACCAGACTGGCTCGTGAGCCTGGCAAAGCAAAATTAATGGCAAATGCCAAAAGACTGTCACGAAGACGGCCATCCTTCACAGCGTGCAGGGATGACTTCAGTCTATGGAACTGGACGGTGACAAATGTGATGTGGAAGGACCGTCTCCTGGTAGGCGTGCTGCTGTACGTGTGTGTGTGTGCGGCGCTGAATGACTGGCTGCCTATCGCGTGGCCAAGGCGTTGCGTGGGCTCAAGGACTCTCCTGGCACTTGGCGCCGCTTCGAAGCTGATGCGCCGACCAGCTCGAAGACCCCGGTCTATTTCGGGCTGGACAAAAGCATACAGCAGATTCGAAAGGACGTGCAAACCAACCGACTCTTGGAAGTGGTCAAGGTGACGACGACAGCTGGACGGTGGAGGGCGAACAGACACATGGGAGTCATATCCAATGGAGATACCCCAGTCATCCAAATTTCTGTGGGCGGTCCTGGAGTGGGGAATGATCGCGCTGTGTCTGAATGTGATCTGGACAACCTTTCGCTGAAAGAGCAGGTCGAATCACGGTTCCGACCCGTCGACGCGGCGGCGCGGCACATTCAACGCGGGAATAGTTCCATGGCGCGCGCCTGCGGAACATCGTAGACCAGTCGTTTTCGGCGCGTCGAACGCGAGGACGCCGCGACATTGCGATACGATGACAGGAAGCACACCACAGAGGAACATCGACTACCCCGCCAAATTTCTCAAGACCGGGAACAGCTGCGGCGGTGCAGGAAATGCATGCGACAGAAGTGAAATTGGAACAAGCCCCCTTTTTCCGCGCCCGCGTGCCGATGCGGATTTTCTTTGCGTTCGTCGCCAAGCGGGGCGCGGGCGGCTGTGCGATCTCACTCGCTGGACAACTGGCGCGCGCGGAATCGGTTCGCGACTTTCGCGAGATCCTCCTGCCAGGACGCACTCAGCGACTGGCGCCGAGCGCGGTCATTTATAACGCGCGCAGCTTGCGCCTGAATGCACCGACCATGGGCGCCATTACGGAGCGGATTTCTCGCGGCATGCGCACAGCCGCGATGGCTCCCATCATGGTCGCGGACATCTTCTTGGGCAGTTAAATTCATTTTCTATGTGTATGTATATACACATACAAAACTGCGGCGGCGCTTCGCGCCGTGCACCATGGTCCTCGAAGTTTGGTGCGCAGGCGGGATGGCAGGAAGGTCGAGCCGACAATTTAGCGATAATTCCTTGTTGCCTGATCCGGCATCGTTGCTATAATAATGTGATTCGTTATCATTATTCAATGTTTCTTCTTCATTTTCGCCATACCCCGCGCATTCCCCCGCCCCCCTCAGCTTTTTGTTGCGGGAGGTCCTCATTCGAGAGCCTCGCAGATTGTTTCAGGCTTTCTTAAGGCCTTCTGGAGGCGCCCCGGGCGCGTTCTGGGGGCCTCTGGGGGCTTCTTCGGGCCGCCCTGCCTCCAACCGCGGCCCCCCTAAACGACCGCGTCACGATTTGGAATTCTTCGGAGGGTATCTCGGGGCCATCTTGGGCCGCCATGGGGCTCTCTGAGGGCCATCTTGGACCTCTGTTGTGCCGTTTTGGGGCTCTCTTGGATTACCTGGAAGCCTCCTCGGATGATTGTGGGGCGATTTTGGAGCCCCCCAGGCGGCTTCGGGCGCCCAGAAGACCGCCGTCTTGGAGCGTCGGGAGACCAAAAAGAGGAGAGCCCCACCATTCACCAAAAACCAACAGAAAATCAATGATGTGAGGCCTTCTTGGGAGTGCTCTTGGAGGCCTCTTGGGACGTTTCGGAACGATTTTGGAGCTATGACGGCTTCTCGGGGGTCGTCGTGGACCGTATTGGGGCTCTCTGGGGTGGTTTCGTGAGTGTGCCAGAACGCCTGGAAGCCGTCTTTGGACTCTCGCGAGGTTCCCCCGGGTCGTCTGAAGAGTTGCCCGGAGGCCTGGGGGGCCGCTTCGAGGCCCGTCCGGAGGGCTCCAAAGCCCCAGATCCCGGGAGTTCGTTGTTTTTGTTGAGGGGGGGTCCCCCCGCCCAGGCTTGTAAAAATATAGGAAGATGAATATGTATGTATGTCTGTATGTATATATATATACACACATATATATATACATGTAAGTGTATACACACATACAAATATACATATATATATATATATATATACATACATACATATATATATATATATATATACATATGTATAACAATAAATAAATGTGTATATATATATATATATATGCGTGCGCGCATCGATCTTTGCCTCTCAGCCCGCGCACCCCAGTACTCTCGCAGCGGCAGAGCGCGAATGCTGACTGCGCCCCCAGACGCCGAGACAGAACATGGCAGGCAATCTTCGATAGCTTCGTGGAGATAGAAACGAATTACCAACGCGTCACTCAGCTGCTGGGGTTCACAAGAAGCCCGAAGCCCCCACAAGGCTCCCAAGAGACATCCACGAGAGCCATTTGGAACCCCCAGAAAGGCCACTGGAGGCCCCCATGAGGGCCCCAGATAGCTTCAGAAGACCGCTGGAGGGCCCCAGCTCCCCAAGACGGCCCAAGAAGGCCCCAGGACGGCCCAAAAGAGCCCCAGAAACGCCCAGACGGTTTTCCCCCATTCGAGCTGACCCGACGATCTTGGTTCCACGCTTGAGGCTCGAGTTTTAAATTCCTCGATCGAGAGAGACAGGCAACGGATCAAGATTCGAAGTTCGACGATCGAAGACTTCCTGAGTGCTTGGAGCCCTCCAGGCATTCAGACAGCGACCAAAATTCGATTTGTTCGGAGCTTCTGCGACTTCTTCGGCGTGTCATGGGAACGCTCACCCAAGAGAGCCCCAAGACGGCAGAACACAAGATGGCCTAAGAGAGCCCCAGTGACGGCCCAATATGGCCCCAAAACACCCTCCGACGCATTCCAACTCGCGACCCGGCCGTTCAGGGGGACCGCGGTTTGAGGCAGGGTGGCCCGAGGAAACCCCAAGAGGCCCCCAGAAGACGCCCAGGAATCTTCCCGAAGGCCTTAAGAAATCTTGAAAAATGTGTGTGAGGCCCCCAGCGGCTCTCCAAGAAGGAGCCTCCGCAAAGAGAGCTGAGGAGGATGGGGAAAATACGCAGGGTATGGCGAGAATGAGGAAACAGGAACATGGAAGAAGGAGAACGAATAATATTACACGGCGATGCCAGAAAAGACAACAAGGAGTTATCGCTAGATTGTCGGTTTGGCCATCATGCAATTCCGCCTGCATGTCGAACTTCAAGGACCAAGGTTTATGGCGCGAAGCGCCAGTGCAGCCTTGTGTATATATGTATGCATTCATGTGTGTATGTATGTATGTATGTATGTATGTATGTATGTATGTACGTACGTACGTACGTACGTACGTACGTACGTACGTATGTATGTATGTATGTATGTATGTATGTATGTATGTATGTATGTATGTATGTATGTACATGTGTACGTTTGTATGTTTGTATGTTTGTATGTTTGTATGTTTGTATGTTTGTATGTATGTATTTGGACAGTCATGTATACACATGTGTTGGGCGTCGCGGCCGCGCGGGCAGCGTACTCTTTTGGTTGTTGTTTCTCTCTCTCTCTCTCTCTCTCTCTCAGACACACGCACACATCACCACACAATACAATATATTACGATACAACAAAACACTACACAACACAACACGCACGAGAGGCGGCGCCGCGGCTGCACATTGTCCGGGGAGGGATGAGTGGTTGTGGATGATGAGGGGCGGGAGGGAGGCAGCTCAATCCCGCCGTCCTTGTAACTTCAGCTGCGCTGTAAGGCCGGCACGGTAGTCGGCTCGAGCATCGACGAGCGCATGCAGACAGACGCCGCCGAGGCCCCCACCGCGCGCTGGGGCGAGTCGACGAGGACCTGGCCGAATACGAGGCCAACGGCTCAACCTCCCCTCGCCATGGCCATAGAGGATGTTGTGAGGGCTCTCCTCCTCCTCCTCCTCCTCCTCCTCCTCCTCCTGTGAGGATGGGCCCGACGCATTGGCAGCCAGGCCGGGAATCTGAGATTCCAAGTCGTGCCATTCCCTCTCACCCTCGGGCGGCCTTGCCTCACGATATCATTTCGGCGCCCGCTCCGCCGCCCCCTGCCATTTTGGAAGCGAAGAGGAGGAGAAGGAGGTGGACGCCTCTTGGAAGCCTCTTGGGGCACTCTTGGGGTCTCCTAGGAGTTTCCTTTGGACCTCTTGGAGGCCTCTTGGGGGCCTCCTTGTGCCTCGTGGGGGCCTTTGGGGGCTTCTTCGGGGCTGGTTTGGCCGTCTTAGAACGTTCCTGGCCCGTCTGCCGCCATCGTCAACCGTATTGGGGGCCTCTCTGAACCGACTTGGGGCCTTCTTGGGGAGCTCCAGGGCCGTACTGGAGGCGTCTTGGAGGCATCTTGGGCCGGCCCTCTTGTGGCCGTCTTGAGGGCCTCTTGGGCCCGTCTGAAGCCATCTTGGAGGCCTACTGGCCGACTATGGGGATCTCTTGGGCCGGCTTGGGCCGTCGGAAGGCCGAAAAGAAGCAAATGCCAACATCCTTCCAAAACCTTCAGACAATCAATGATTCTGGCTCCCTCGGGCCTTCCACGAGGACCTCATAGAAGTCTCTGAGACCTTGCGGATGCCTCTGGGGCCCATCTTGAGTCATCTTTAAAACAGGGCTAGGATCGGGATAAATCGCTCCAGAGCGTTCCGGAGCGCTCTCAGAGCGTTCCAGAACGCTCTGGAGCGGCCGCGGCGCCCAATACATCCTCCAAACCCGCCGATTCTCAGAGATTTCCAGTTATCCCGATCCGATTTTGTCCCGATCTTCGCGTCGTTTTAATCTTGGCCGTCTGGAAAGCCATGTTGGCCGTCTTGGCGCTCGGGCCGTTTTGGAAGCAGTCTTGGAGGCAATTTTTTGGCCAGCTTGGCGGTACTGGAGGCATCTTGGGGTCGATGTTTGGCCATCCAGGAGCGAGGACAGCAGCCGTCTGGGCAAATGGGGGGGTGGTTCTGGGTGGGAAGCGCCCCTCCTCCTCCTCCTCCTCCTCCTCCTCCTCCTCCTCCTCCTCCTCCTCCTCCTCCTCCTCCTCCTTGGACCGCAGCCCTAGGGGGAGTTCCGAGAGAAGCAAAAACCTCCTGGGCACCCATGTGGGAAGCCAACAGAGGGTGAGGGATCGAAGGCGCCTACGGCAAATCACCGCCGCCCCCTGCCTTTGTGGAAGCGCCTATGTGGCCGAACGCTGAGGCCAGACCTGCCAAGATATCGGACCATGTGTTCCCCGAATCGGTTTGGAAAGCCTTCGGGGAACACGTGGGCATCTTGAAGGTCATCTTGGCCGCCTGGAGGCCATTTTGACTCTTTCGGGCCTTCTTGGAGGACGTCTTGGAGGGCTCGTGGGCCGTCTTGGAGGCCATCTTGAGCGTCTTGGAGACCTCTTGGGCCGTCTTGGGGGCCTCTTGGGGCCGTCTAGGGCGCCTCTTGGGCCGTTCTGGGGCCATCTTGGAGGCCTCTTGGGCGATCCTTGGGCGATCTTTGGGAGCTTTTGGGCCGTATCGGGCCGTCGGAAGGCCGAAACGAAGCAAATGTCAAAATCTTGCAAAAACCTTAGGAAAATCACTCTTCTGGGCCTTTTCTGACCTTCCTGGAGGCCCTCTTGGAGGCCTCTTGGGCCGTCTTGGGCCAGCTGCGAGCCACCTTCGGCCATCTTGGTGGGCTCCTGGCCCGTCTGACGCCGTCGGAAGCCGTTTCGGGGGCCTTCCTGGGCCGACTTGGGGCCCTCTTGGGGTGCTCCAGGGCCGTCTTAGAGGCCATCGTGGGCGTCTTCGAGGCCTCTTGTGCCGTCTTGGCGCCCTCTTGGGGCCGTCTTGGGGGCCACTTGGGCCGTCATGGGGCCATCTTGGAGGCCTCTTGGGCGATCTTGGGGCGACCTTGGCGGCCTCTGGGGCCGTCACGGGCCGTCGGAAAGCCGAAAAGGCGCAAATACCAAAATCCTTCAAAGCCAACGGAAAATAAAGGATGTTGGCCTCGTCGGGCCTTCCTGGAGGAACTCTTGAAGGCCTCTTGGGCCGTCTTGGAGGCCTCTTGCGGGCCTTGTGGGCCGTCTTAGACCATATTGGGGCCATCTTGGGCCGTGTTGGATGCATCTTGGGGCCATCTTAGCCGTCTTGAAGGCCATCTTGGCTGTCTTGGAGGCATATTGCAAGCCATCTTGGGCCATCTTCGCGATGTTGTTCAGGATGTCCCGAGCGAAACGGCCGTTTTTGGGGATGGCAACAACCTCTTCTGGGTGGCCGGCGGGACGGGCCGAAGCCCCAGGGGGAGTCCGCCGCCCCCTGTTGATTCATCACACGGGTGCCTGGCGCGCCGAACTATATGGGTTTGGGTTTTGGCTTTTTGTTCCAAAAGAACTCCCCCTGGGGCTTCGGCTCGTCCCGCCGGCCACCCGGAAGAGGTGGTTGCCCCCCCCCCCCAAAAAAAAACGCCGTTTCTCTCGGGACATCTTCAACAAATCGCGAAGATGGCCCAAGATGGCCTCCAAGTCCGCCCAAGATGGTCCAAGACGGCCTCCAAGATGGCCCAAGAGAGTCCACGACGGCCCAAGACGGCCCAAGAGGCGCCCCAGGGGCATCCAAGACGGCCAGAGGCCTCCAAGAGGTCCTCGAGGAGGGCCCGAAGAGGCCAACATCATTGATTTTCCTTAGGTTTTTGAAGGATTTTGGCATTTGCCTCTTCTCGGCATTCCAACGGCTCAAGACGGCCCAAGCGGCCCCCAAGATCGCCCAAGAGGCCCCCAAGAGGGCCCCTAATGACGGCCCAAGTGGCCTCCAAGACGGCCCCAAGAGGGCCCCAAGACAGCCCAAGAGGCCTCCAACAAGCCCAAGATGGCCTCCAAGCCGCCCAAGATGGCCTCCAAGACGGCCCCGAAGCGCCCCAAGAGGGCCCCCAGACGGCCCAGAAAGGAGACGGCCCAAGAGCCCCCAAAGATCGCCGAAAGATCGCCCAAGAGGCTTCCAAGATTGCCCCCCCAAGCGGCTTCCGAAGGCGTCAGACGGACCAGGAGCCCACCAAGACGGCCGAACATGGCCCTAAGATGGCCCAAGACGGCCCAAGAGGCCTCCAAGAGGGCCTCCAAGAAGGCCCGAAAAGGCCAAAATCATTGATGTCCCATGGGTTCTTGAAGAATTGTGGCATCTGGAGTTTTTCCTGCCTTCCGACGGCCCGAGACGGCCCAAGTGCCCCCCAGACACGGCCCCAAGAGGCCCCCAAGACGGCCCAAGAGGTCTCCAAGACGCTCAAGATGGCCTCCAAGACGGTCCAAGAGCCCTCCAAGACGACCTCCAAGAAGGCCCGAAAGGGTCGAAATGGCCTCCAGGCGGCCAAGATGACCTTCAAGATGCCCACGTGTACCCCGAAGGCTTTCCAAACCGATCCGGGGAACACATGGTCCGATAGCTTGGCAGGTCTGGCCTCAACGTTCGGCCACATAGGCGCTTCCAAAAAGGCAGGGGGCGGCGGTGATTCGCCGTAGGCGTCTTCGATCCTTTTGGGAGAGAATCTATATATATATATATATATATATATATATATTATCATACGCACCTCTCCGAGGGAGTAGAGCTCAGAGGCGACTAATGCGCACGCGTCCGCGATTTTCTGGGCGTTTCGCTCGGGACATCCTCGAATTCTGAAAATCGGTGGCACCCCTCACGCAGATCGTGACGTCAGGGTCCAAAAACACATGGGAATTTCAACATTTTAACATAAAACCTTCAAAGACACATGGTACTTTCAATAATTGTGACCCCGATTCTCAGGGAATGGCGGTTTCGCTTGAAAAATCCTTCCAAAATCGAGCCCCAGACCCCGCCTCGGAGCCTCCTGGGGGCCTCCTGGAACCTCCTGGGGCCTCATGCGGCTTTCTGAACCTTCTGGCACCCCAGACCCCGCCTCGGAGCCTCCTGGGGGTCTCTTGAAACCTCCTGGGGCCTCCTGGGGCCTCATGCGGCCTCCTGGAGCCTCTTGGGGCCTCCTGAAGCCTCCTGGGGTCTCCTGGGGCCTCCTGAGGCCGCCTGGGGCTTCCTGGGGCCTCCTGGGGCTTCAGAACTACATGCACACAGAGACACAAATCACGCCCAACACATCACACGCTAGACAAACATAACACACACACACACACACACACACACACACACACACACACACACACACACACACAACCTACAACACACAAAAAGCACGCACCACACAAAGCATACATCACACACACACACACACGGTGTCACACGCACAACACTCACAATCCTGGGGCCTCCTGGAGCCTCTTCTGGTATCCAAGTCGGGCCTCCTGAGGCTTCCTGGGGGGTCCTTGTACACACATCGCAAGGTGTGGCAACCCCACTTGCGCTCGAGTGCGACTTCGATGTTGCATTTGTTGTATGAGCCTGGGCACACACGTGCCACTTGTATGTATATATATATATATATATATATTTATTTATTTATAGTTCGGCACGCCAGGCACCCCCGTGCCTGGACTATGGGTCCGAATTCTCAGCGATGTTTCTTCGGGTCTCTTCGGGGCGCTCGCGGGGGCTCTTGGGAGCAGTTTGGGGGCCTCTGGGGACCCTCTTTGGGACCCCTCGGGGCCGAGGGCTCGAAATGTCCGCTCGGGTTCCTCATCTGGGCCCATTCTTGGGCCGTCTTCGCACCCTCTTGGGCCGTCTTGGGCGCCTCTTGGGTCGTCATGGGGCCCTCTTGTGCCGTCTTGGGGGGATCCTGGAGGCCTCGTGGGCCGTCTTGAAGCGTCGGGAAGCCGA